AGTAAGCACCATTCGTTTTTTATGTTATATTGCATTTAGCACTATTTATTAGTAAAGAAGAAATGTCAAAATCTCCCATTTCGAAATTTTTTGTAACTATTTGCATTTATTAGTGTGAAAGTAGTATTTTCCCACCTGTCCCCAGTCTAAAATTTATATATGTATATCATAGCTGTGGCCCTCTAGGTTCTAAATATGACATTTTCTATCTGCACAATTCATACAACAATTTTTCTAATTTTCATCATTTCAATCATTTCTGCTTGATATCGATAAAAAAAATTTGGAATAGTCGAAAAATTAAAAAAAAATTACAGAAATAGCTGTATAAAGTTTTGACCTTAAAATACGATTTTTCTGAGTCACCAAAAGAGATAAAACTTTTTGTCAGTTGATTTTCATCGAAGCTAGAAGAAAAATGGAAGAAAAGCAGGGAGCGTTTTTATTAACCATGAATGGATGGTGGAAGATTTAGTCTTCCGTATCTTCATTCATAAAGAGCAACCTTCGACATCTCCGATATATATCCAATCTCTCTTGTTTTGTATATTTAATAACACTGTGCTCGGATCTTGAACGTTTTTTCTTGAGCGTCTCCGTTTTGCTGGATTGGATCCAATTTTCGAGGTAAAGGTAACCGAAAATTTTAACTTTTTTTTAATAACTCCCTATTTGTAAAATTTTATACGTGACTTTTTTTAATATTACTATTTCTGAAAATCACCGAAATCGGTTTACTATAGGACCAGGGTTCGTATTTGCACACACATGCGCAGCACATCCTAACATTTTACGCTCACACATGTGTGCTGTGCATATAAAAAATTAAAAACTTGCTCACATCACATGTGTGTGCCGTTTGGTAAAAAGCACGGGCACATGTGTGTACTTTATTTTTATTAATATAAGGCACACGCACATGTGCGTGCTTTGCGTAGAGAAACTTATACACTTCGATTTCTAACTCAAATCTTAAAATAATTTTTTAATATGTTTTCTGTAATATAAAAAACAAACAACATCTCACTTTTTATCGAATTGTCTTTCAAAAAATAACGTTTAATAAACAAACTCTTTTAAAAATATATTATGTGCATGTGCATGGGCTGAAATTTGTACAAAAATCGGCTCACACACATGTGCATGTGCTTAATAACAAACAGCACACACTTTTCTGTGAGCAGAGTTTGTTTTCCACTTATGCACACACATGTGTATGAGCAGTGAGTGCAAGTTGAATGTGTATCTGGCGTGTGTGTGAGCAGAGCATGTGTGTGCAAATACGAACCCTGTATAGGACATAGCTCTCATGCAATTGATTATTTATATTTTTTCTCAGGGACCGAAAATAACAGTTATTTTTTTTTCGATGTTATAAAAGTCCGGGGGAAAAATATTGTCTTAGAATAAAGTTATCAATGTTCCTTTGATCCCATGTAATCCTGGACAAGAATCCTGGGTTCTTTTTATTTTTCGAACTTTTTGGGAAAAGTCCAATAATAACTTAAAAATCCAGACTTTTATATTTTAAGTCCAGCAATAAAAATTAAACTTGGCCAAATATTTTTAAGTCCGAAATAAAAGTTCTTTCCTAAGAATAAACAAACCCCTTAACCAAATCAAACAAATTTCATACCAAATGAAAGAGGACTGAAATAGCTTTTAAGCAGAAATATTTCAACGAAGATTGCCACATATTTATATATGTTCTATATATAGGTGCCACCTGTTAAAAACTTAATTCAAATTATTTAATAATCAATGCCATTTGATCCGCACCGTTCGTTCGAATTTGAAAAATGAGGTGTAAGATTAGAGGCCTGGGCTATAGATGTGCCGTGAGCAGTGTTGCCACAACATTTTTTTATTTTTTACAAAAATCACCAAAAAAAGTTACCAAATTCAACAAAAAACTTCCAAACTTATTTCATGTACAGAACTGTACATACTCGATGAGCTAATTAAACAAGCAACATTTTATCAATTTTGGCTATTTTTCTTTTATTTACTTAACGTTTATTATTTTTTCATAAAAGACTAGCTCATTATGTAACAAACACCATATAAATCCGCATTTCAAACTTTGTGCAAAAATGATAAAAAAATCTACAAAGTTTCATCTAAGTTTTCAACCTTTTATTCAGAAGAAACGATTGCACGTCGTTTCTGGAACGCGCTCATAATGGTATATTTTGCATTTAGATATACATCTCCAGGTATATAGGGCTTATGCCACGAAACGACCGAATGCATGTGATCATTCACAGTGTCATTGATGCGGTTCATTGCAACATAGGACTATCAGGCGCATAATTTCCCGTAGATGGGATGTCCTTCGGTTACTGAAGTCATTCGATTTGGCACCATTGGACTTTTTTATGAGGCTACTCAGATGACCGTTTTTTGTGAATAAACCTCAAACTTTGGAGCACTTTAAAAACAACATTTATTGTCCAGTTTCGGCCAATATATATATGTACATACATATGCCAACGAGTGGCCGAAAAAATATCAAAAATTCAACGCTTGAGGGCAAAGCTTTCCACTCTCACATAGACAAAGTGAAGTACCCTACTGAATGTGTAGCTTTTTGAACATAGGTAGTTATTTACATACAATTTTACTCATATGGTTACACCGGAATACTTGTGGCAATTGCAAAGCCGACGGACTGACAAGGAAAGTTACGATCACACAAAATCTTCCGGGAAAGGACATGGTAGATATAGCAATAGCCACTTTTCAAGCAGCTTGTTAAAGAACACACCATTCTAGTAACCAAGGAACGCTGCAATAACTTTTCGCCTTGAAAAACTTTCTGGATTATCTAGTATTTCTGGCCACTTCCTAATGTGGAATCATAACCTGTATTGACTTATGTGACATGTAGGACCAAATCGAAAAAGTTACCAAATTGAAAAATAAATTACCGAATTACCAAATTTGATAAATAAAGGAAAAAATTACCAATTTCGGTTCCAAATAACAAAAGCGGCAACGCTGGCCGTGAGGTTTTAGTTTTTCGAAAATAGTTGCCACCCTTTCAAAAATAAGAGTTATGCAAATTATTTAAAAAGTTAAATGAGTTATTGCAATATGGGCATCAAACAAAATGGTTTGGAAATGGCTTTATTTCTTAAGTACCTGTAGGAAGGTTGCCACCTGTTT